TGGGGGGGGCCTCGGCCCCCGACACCCCCCAGGGCTGTGCCCGCGGCAGCTGCTACCCGGCCACCGGGGACCTGCTGGTGGGACGAGCCCCCCGCCTGAGTGCCAGCTCCACCTGCGGGCTGCGCCGGCCCCAGCCCTACTGCATCGTCAGCCACCTCCAGGTGAGCGGGACGGGGACCAGATGGGGACCGGGGGGGACAGGACGGGGGTGGGGGTGACGGGACGGGGATGGGGACACACAGCGCCGAGCCCCCCGCTTGCAGGAGGAGAAGAAGTGCTTCATCTGTGACTCCCGGCGGCCCTACGATGCCCGCACCGATGCCAACAGCCACCGCATCGAGAACGTGGTCACCACCTTCGCCCCCCGCCCCAAGAAAGCCTGGTGGCAGTCAGAGAACGGTGAGTGACGGGGTGGGGGCGGCAGGGCGTCCCGGGGGGCTCTCCTTCCCTTCCTCCCACGCCGAAGGAAGCGTGACTCAGCCGGCGGCTGCAGCCGCACCCCTGAACCATGGCTGGGTGCGGGGGACGAGCATTGGGGACCCACGGGTGGGTGCTCCACACAGTCACGTGTGCCGTCCCCAGGTGTGGAGCATGTCAGCATCCAGCTGGACCTGGAGGCCGAGTTCCACTTCACCCACCTCATCATGACCTTCAAGGTGGGTCCTGGCACGTGGGTTCCTGGGGGTGGGATGGGAGGGAACGGGATGGCACAGGATGGGATGGGGCCTGCGGGGGCTGCATGGCCGGCCCCTGTGCCAGCTGGCTGTCCCGTAGACCTTCCGCCCCGCGGCCATGCTGGTGGAGCGCTCGGCCGACTTCGGGCGCAGCTGGAAGGTCTACCGCTACTTCGCCTACGACTGCGCCACCGCCTTCCCCCACGTCCCCCGCGGGCCCCCGCGCCGCATCGACGACGTCGTTTGCGAGTCCCGCTACTCCGACATCGAGCCCTCCACCGAGGGGGAGGTGAGTCCCCAGAGGTGCCCCAGGAAGGTCGAGGAACCCCCTGTTCTCCCCTCACCGCCCTGCCTTATCCCCCCCAGGTGATCTACCGGGTGCTGGACCCCTCCATCCCCATCCGGGACCCCTACAGCCCCGCCATCCAGAGTGAGTTGCCTGCCCCAGGCTCCCTTCTGGCTGCTCTATTTTGGGCACAGCTATTTTGGCCTCTCTCTCCCTGCTCTGAGCCCCACGGCGGGGTCAGAGCTGGATCCAGCCTGTGGGGGCTCGAGTCCCTCCTGCAACCCCCCCCACCACCGTGGGAGCAGCTAAAGGTCGGGCTGCATCGGGGGGGGGGGAGCGGAGGGGGATGGTTGTGCCAGAGCCCTGCCGGAGCCAAGCCCAGTGCCAAGTGATGGCCGTTGTGTGGGATGAGGTCGGTGACGGGCAGAGGAGTGAGGCCGAGCGCAGGACGCAGCGGGTTAATCAGCCAGGACTAAATTTAGGCTGGGAGCAGGAGGGGAGGAATCTGCAGGGCAGGGCTGCTGGGAAGCTGGAGTCCCCAGGGGAGCAGTCCTGTCCTGCTGGGGCCCCCAGGCTGCGTCCACTGGGCACAGCCACCCTCGGGGCACAGCTGTGATGGTGGGTGCCCGCTGCCCAGAGAGGTGCCCTCGCCCAGGGCACTTGTGCTGTGCTGGTGGGGTCCCAGCCCGCATCTGCTGGGGGGTCCTGCCCAGCCTGACCGTGCACAACAACGTGCATGGGAGCTGAACCACCACAGCGACGCACAGCCCAGCCTGGCCACGTGCAGCCACGTGCCTGTCAGCCAAACCAGGCACAGCCCCGTGCCAATAAGCCGTGCCACGGAAAGCCCCACACAGCCCAGCCCGATGGTGGGCAGCCCTGTGGGGACACCCCGTGCCATGCGCAGCCCGGCCCAGCCACGCACGGCAGAGCCGAGCCACGCAGGGACGAGCCCCGGCCACCCCGTGCCAACGTGGGTCTCTCCCCACCCCAGACCTGCTGCGTGTCACCAACCTGCGGGTGAACCTCACCAAGCTGCACACGCTGGGGGACAACCTGCTGGACTCGCGGCGGGAGATCCGGGAGAAGTACTACTACGCTCTCTACGAGCTGGTGATGCGCGGGAACTGCTTCTGCTACGGGCACGCCTCCGAGTGTGCCCCGCTCAGCGGGGCCCCGGCCACCACCGATGGCATGGTAAGGTCATCTGGCCCCACGTGCCCTGCTGGAGCCAGGTGGTTGCGCTGCCTGGTCCCGCAGCCCCTCACCGTGGTGTCCCGGCAGGTGCATGGGCGCTGTGTCTGCAAGCACCACACGCAGGGGCTGAACTGCGAGCGCTGCGAGGACTTCTACCACGACCTGCCCTGGCGCCCGGCCGAGGGCTCCAGCACCAACGCCTGCCGCCGTGAGTGCCCCGCGCCGGCACCGGTTCCTGGCATGGAGATCCCGGGGCCGGGGCTGCCGGGCTGTGTTGTGCCAGGGGGTTTGGTGTGCTGCATGCTGGGGTGTGGTTGGGTGGGATTGGCGTCCTGCAGACTGGCTTTGGGGGATCTTGGGTGCTGCAGGCTGTGGTTTGGGGTTGGGGTGCTGCATACTGGAGTGAGGGGGGTCAGGGCCGGGGAGGTTTGGCAGTGGAGGTACCACCAGGGGGGGAGTTGGGGTGCCACATGCCGTGCTGCCATGCCACCCCTGCAGGCTGTGACTGCAACGAGCACTCCCGGCGCTGCCACTTCGACATGGCCGTCTTCCTGGCCACGGGCAACACCAGCGGGGCCGTGTGTGATGGCTGCCAGCACAACACCATGGGGCGCCGCTGCCACCTCTGCAAGCCCTTCTACTACAAGGACCCCAGCAAGGACCTGCGGGACCCCGCAGTGTGCCGAGGTGGGTGCCGGGGGGTGCGTGGCATGGGGCTGGGCCGGGAGTGGGGGGGTCGGGATGCTGACCCTGCCTGTGCCCCCAGCCTGCGACTGTGACCCCGAGGGCTCTCTGGACGGGGGGCTGTGCGATGGCGCCGACGACCCAGCCCGGGGGCTGATTGCAGGGCAGTGCCGCTGCAAGGAGCACGTGGCTGGTCCCCGCTGCGACCGCTGCAAACCCGGCTTCTTCGGCCTCAGTGCCGCCAACCCGCAGGGCTGCCAGCGTAGGTACCGGGGCAGCACCCGCCGGGGTCGGGGCATGTGGCTCGGCCCCTCCGGACGGTGCTGGCTTTCCGTGCAGGGTGCCAGTGTGACCCCCGTGGCACGGTGGCTGAGGGCAGCCGGTGTGACCCCATCAGCGGCGAGTGCTTCTGCAAGCGGCTGGTGACCGGGCGCAGCTGTGACCAGTGCCTGGTGAGTGGGGCTGTGCCAGGGGCCATGCACGGTGCTTGGGGAGCCATGCTTGGTGCTTGGGACCATGGCACTGCAGCCAGATGTTCCCTGACACCCTTGCCCTCTGCAGCCCGAGTACTGGGGGCTGAGCCACGACCTCCCGGGCTGCCGGCCCTGCGACTGCGACGTGGGAGGTGCCCGCAACCACCTGTGAGTCTTCGGGGGGATGCCAGGGGCAAGGGGCTTTCCCTGCCCAGCATCGGGGCTAACGGTGCTGCTGGGGTGCCAGGTGTGCCGTGGAGACGGGGCAGTGCCAGTGCCGCAGCCATGTGGTGGGACGGCAGTGCGGCCAGGTGGAGCCTGGTTTCTACCGCATCAACCTGGACCATTACACCTACGAGGCTGAGGATGCTCGACTGCATCAGGTAAGGGACAAAGGTGTCCCTGGGGGGTACATTAGGGAGAGCAGGGCAGCAGGTGGCTCTTTGCAGGGTCCCCAGGCCAGCAGAGTGGTGCCTGCTGGCCAAAGCAGTTTTTAGGGTCTCATCTCAAAACCTCCCTTTGCACCAGGGCTCTGTGGTGGAGCATGAACCCCCCATGGACCATCCAGCTTCGTGGACAGGAACGGGCTTTGCCCGCATGCTGGAGGGTGGCTGGCTGGAGTTTCATGTGAACAACGTGCCTTTCTCCACTGAGTATGATGTGATCATCCGCTATGAGCCCCAGGTGAGCGGGGCTGTGTCACCAAATTGGCGGGTGGTGGTAGGGCATGCCGGCAGGGGAGGCTTTTTAGCACCAGCTCCTTCTCCTCCGGCAGCACCCGGAGCCCTGGCAGGAGGTGAGGGTGAGAGTGCTGCGCCCCAGCCCCGTCTCCGCCAGCAGCCCTTGTGGAAACACCATCCCAGCTGATGACCAGCTCTCCACCAGCCTCCCCTCGGGTGCCAGGTGAGCTCCTCACCGGGACCGGGCTGTGCCAGGGCTTGCGGGAGAAACCCAGCTGCCCATGCTCTGCTTTACCTCTGCCCAGGTACGTGGTGCTGCCCCAGCCCTTCTGCCTGGAGCGGGGCGTCTCCTACACCCTCCGCCTGGAGCTGGGCTGTGCCACTGCTCGGCAGGATCCCACCGCCAGCGTGCTCATCGATTCGGTGAGGGGTGACCTGGCAGGGGAAGAGGGGACACCAACCCTTCACAGGGCCAGGACGTGGCTGTAGGGGACATGGGTAGAAACTGACATCCCCCTGACTTGCCTCCCAACCCCATCCAGCTGGTGCTCGTGCCCCGTTACTCCTCGCTGGAGATGTTCATCGCGGGCGACCCCGGCTCCGTGGAGCGACGGGAGACCTTTGAGCGGTACCGCTGTGCCCAGCCCTTCCACACCGCGGGGCCCTCGCCGGTGGCTGAGCCCTGCTCCAGCCTCCTGCACAGCCTCTCGGCCATCCTGCACGATGGAGCGCTGCGTGAGTCCAGCCCCGTGCCCCGTCCCACCTCCTGCAGCGGCCACCGCCAGCTCACCCCGCTCTCTGCCCGCAGCCTGCCTCTGCGACCCCCAGGGCTCGCTCAGCGCTGAGTGCCAGCCCCAGGGCGGCCAGTGCCGGTGCAAACCCAACGTCATGGGACGGCGCTGCCACCGCTGCTTCCCGGGAACCTTCGGTTTTGGGCCCGGAGGGTGCCGAGGTGAGTGTCATGGGGCTGTGCCACCCTGGTCTGGAGAGAAACCCGGGCACCCTAAGGCTTGGGGGTGCGGAATGCTCTCCATGTGCTGGGGGCACATGCCATCGGTGCCATGCCTTTCAGCGTGCCAGTGCAGCAGGGAGGGCTCGGTGAGCACCGTCTGCGACAGCACCACGGGTCAGTGCTCCTGCCGCGAGGGTGCCCACGGCCTGCGCTGTGACCGCTGCCAGCCGGGCTACTGGGGCTTCCCTGCCTGCCGGCCCTGCCAGTGCAACGGGCACGCCGAGGACTGCGACCCCCGGACGGGCAGCTGCCTGCGCTGCCGGGACCACACGGACGGCGAGAGGTGCCAGAGGTAAGTGGGCACACACCTGGACTGGGGCAGGGTGCCCACAGCAGCCCTGGCCACCACTGACTGCCTGCCCGCAGGTGTGTGGCCGGGCATTTTGGGAACCCGTCGCTGGGCTCTGGGCAGCACTGCCGGCCATGCCCCTGCCCTGAAGGGCCGGGCAGCCTCCGCCATTTCGCCGCCTCCTGCTACCAGGACAGCCAGTCCCAGCAGGTTGTTTGCCACTGCAGCCCTGGCTACACAGGTGGGTGGCCCCCACAGCACGCTCGGTGCCCTCAGGGGTCTCCCATCCCCGAGCACTGCCCAGCGCTCTGTGCTGACAGGTCCCCGCTGCGATGAGTGTGCCCCCGGGTACTATGGGGACCCCCTGCAGCCTGGTGGGCGCTGCCTGCCCTGCCAGTGCCACGATAACATCGACATGACGGACCCGGAGGCGTGCGACCGGCGCACGGGACAGTGCCTGCGCTGTCTCTACAACACGGCGGGGCCACAGTGCGCCGAGTGCCAGCCTGGCTACTACGGGGATGCCACACGGCACAGCTGCAGGCGTGAGTACCCACGGCTGTGCTGAGAGACTTGCCTCCAGGGCCCCTCAAGTCCCTGGGGACCACGTGTGCCCACGGTTGTCTTTGATCATGCACAGCGCTGCGGGATCCCTGCAGCCCAGCCCTGGCACTGTGGCCCATCCTTGTCCCCATGCCCAGCTAATCCCATCTACATCCTCACCTCATGCCCATTCCTGTCCCTTTACCATCCACCATGCCACCCTGCCTCTGTCTCCATCCTGTCCTCAGCTCATCTCTATCCTAATCGTGTCCATGTCCCAGTCCCGTCTCCATCCCATCCCCATCAGTGGTCTTCATGCTGTTCTCATCCCATCTTCATCCAGTCACCACCGCATCCCTGCCCAATCTCCGTCTCCATCCTGCCCCATCGCCTTCCCCATCCCATTCCTGTTGTCATCCTGTCCCCATCCCCCTCAATCCTCCTGTCCCCGTCCCCATCCCCGTCCCCACTCAGTGCCTGTTGGGTTCCAGGTTGCTCCTGCAACACATTGGGCACTGACCCCAGCACCTGCGGGCCCCAGCAGTGCCAGTGTGACAGGCGCAGTGGGCAGTGCCACTGCCTGCCCCATGTGGAGGGCCAGAACTGCGACCGCTGCAGCCCCAACTTCTGGAACCTGGGTAGCGGGCAGGGCTGCCAGCCCTGTGCCTGCCACCCCCAGCATTCCCTGACACCCGCTTGCAACCAGGTGAGACAGGGGCAGGGCAAGGGGGTGGGATGGGGCTGGGGGGGGTTGTGCTGCAGGAGTGCCAGCCTCGGCCGCGCCATGTGTGACCAGCAGAAGTAGGGAGGTGATTGTGCCCCTGTACTCAGCACTGGTGAGGCCACACCTCGAGTATTGTGTCCAGTTTTGGGCACCTCAATACAAGAGAGATATCGAGGTGCTGGAGCAAGTGCAGAGGAGGGCAACGAAGCTGGTGAAGGGGCTGGAAAACAAATGGTATGAGGAATGGCTGAGGGAGTTGGGACTGTTTAGTATGAGGAAGAGGAGGCTGAGGGGAGACCTCATCACTCTCTACAACTATGTGAAAGGACACTGTAGAGAGGTTGGTGCTGGTCTCTTCTCACAGGTAATTAGTGACAGAACGAGAGGGAATGGCTTCAAGCTCCAACAGGGTAGGTTTGGATTGAACATTAGGAAAGAATTTTTCACCGAAAGAGTGATAGGGCATTGGAACAGGCTGCCCAGGGAGGGGGTGGAGTCACCATCCCTGGCTGTGTTTAAGGGCCGTTTAGATGCAGTACTAAGGGACATGGTGTAGGGGATGACTTTGTAGAGTAGGGTAGATGGTTGGACTCAATGATCCCAAGGGTCTCTTCCAACCTAGACCATTCTATGATTCTATGATTCTATGTCTTTCAGTTCACAGGGCAATGCTCGTGCCGGCCAGGCTTTGGGGGCCGGACCTGTGCCGACTGCCAGGAGCACCACTGGGGTGACCCACGGCAGCAGTGCCGAGGTGAGAGCCGGTGTGCCAGTGGGGGGTCCACAGTGAGCCCCACAGCACCCTGACCCCACTCTCCCCACAGCCTGTGACTGCGACCCCCGCGGTGTTGCCAGCACTCAGTGTGACCGCGGCAGTGGCCACTGTGACTGCCGGCCCGGCATCTCCGGAGTCCGCTGTGACCAGTGCGCCCGTGGCTTCTCCGGCACTTTCCCCGCCTGCCAGCCCTGCCACCCCTGCTTTGGGGACTGGGACCGGGTGGTGCAGGACCTGGCTGCCCGCACCCGGGCGCTGGCGCAGCGGGCCAGCCTCCTGCAGCACACCGGGGCCGCCGGCGTCTTTGAGGGCACCTTCCGGCGGCTTGAAGAGAACCTGGCCACCGTGCGTAACGTGGTGGCTGCCCGCAATGCCACCGCCGCCACTGCTGCCCACCTGACGCACACCACGGAGGGGCTGCGGTGAGCACCCGGCGTGGGGCACGGCTGCCAGGGTGGCCCCGGGGGGCAGGTTGTCACCACCTTGCCTTGCAGGCAGCAGATCGGGGAGGCAACGGAGAGGCTGACACGGCTGGAAGGGGAGCTGACAGCCGCCCAGGATGCCAACTTCAACGCCAGCCACGTGCTGAGCGCGGTGGACCGGGGTGCCCGTGCCCTCAACCACAGCCTGCAGGACCTGGAGCAGCGGCTGGATGCTCTCAAGACCTCTAATTTCCTCGGTGAGCCATGTCACCGAGCCGGGCCAGGGTGGCAGTGCCGTGGCCAGGGGAGGGTCTGACGGTGCCCCCTCTGTCCCCAGGTGCCTACGACAGCATCCGCCAGTCCCACGGGGAGTCACGGGAGGCTGAGCGCCGGGCGGACGCCTCCACCCGCGCTGTGCCCAGCCCTGTCAGCACCTCGGCAGCCACCCGGCACCGCACCGAGCAGCTCCTGGCCAGCCGGCGGGATGACTTCAACCGCCAAAACGCAGCCAGCCGGCGGGCACTGATGGACCTGGCGACGCGAGCGCAGGCACTGAGCCTGCACCCGCTCAATGAGAAGGTGGGGTGCAGGGAGGGGAACCGGGGGGAGGGGATGGAGCCTGGAGCCACCCTGAGCCCACGCTGCCTTGCAGGTCTGCGGTGCAGTGGGTGACGTGCCCTGTGCTGAGAGCCCCTGCGGGGGAGCCGGGTGTCGGGACGAGGACGGGGGGCGGCGCTGCGGGGGTCTGAGCTGCGGCGGGGCCGTGTCCACAGCCGACAGCGCGCTGGACCGGGCACGCCATGCCCAGGAGGAGCTGCAGCGGGCAGCCAGCGACGTGGTCCAGCTCTCCCACAAGGTGTGTGGCACATGGGGTGCTGGGCGAGAGCGGGTGGCACGGCTGTGCCCCCCCCCAGCCCTTGGGGGCTGGCGCTGAGTGTCTCTGCCCCTGCGTAGGTGGCAGAAGCCAAAGGGAAGGCAGATGAGGCCCGGCTGCGGGCGCAGGCAGCCCTGGACAAGGCAAACCAGACCAGGGCCCGGGTGGAGAGCTCCAACAAGGAGCTGCGGGAGCTCATCAGCCAAGTCAAGGCCTTCCTGAGCCGTGAGTGACGGCGTGCCGGGGAGGCTGGCTGCCCCTGCCCGGCACTGCATGGCTCTGTGCCTGCCCCACACACCACACTGCATGTGGGCTCTCCCCAGCACTGCGCAGCCCTGGCACCACACAGCCCCTGCCCCACGCTGTGTTGCATGGTCTCTGCCCTGCCCCAAACATCCCGTGCCTCCCCAACCGTCCTCTGCCCCCCTGCCCTTCCCCATGCTCCCTCCCCATGGCTCTCCCTGCCCTCCCCAGCCCCTCGGTCTGCATGTCCCCTGCTCCCCTGTGTGGCACAGGCGACACACTGACAGCTCCTGCCCGCAGAGGAGGGGGCCGACCCCGAGAGCATCGAGGTGGTCGCCAGCCGGGTGCTGGAGCTGTCGCTCCCCGCCGCGCCGGCCCAGATCCGCCGCCTGGCTGAGGAGATCAAGACACGGGTGCGCAGCTTGGCCAGTGTGGATGCCATCCTGGAGCAGACGGCGGGTGATGTGCGCCAGGCAGGGCAGCTGCTGCAGGATGCCCAGCAGGCCAGGTGAGGCTGGGGACATGGGGACATGGCTCCCCTTGGACCCCCTTGCCCAGGCTGGCGCTGAGGCCGTGCTGCCCTGGCTGCAGGTCACGGGCAGAGGGTGTGCGGGGCACGGCTGAGGCGGTGCAGCAGGCGTTGGAGGAGGCACGGCGAGCCCAGGGCATGGCTGAGGAGGCGCTGCAGCATGCTGCCAGTGACATCCAGCACAGCGAGAGAGCCCTTGGCACGGTAAGGGCCCAGTCGCCTTGACCTCAGCCCCATGGGGACAGGCAGGGTCCCGTCCCTACCATACAGGCACCCTGACCATGCCCGTCCCCCAATGCCACCCATCCCCAGATGCAGGACCAGACAGCGAGCGCAGAGCAGTGGCTGGCAGGTGCCATGGGGCGGCTGGGGGTCCTGGATGGACAGACAGACGCCCTGAAGGTGAAACGTGCCAACAACAGCCTGGCAGCCACGCGTGCCCAGGAAGCTGCCAGTGCCGCACGGGACCGAGCCAGCGAGGCCAAGCAGGTGCGTGAGCAGGGCATGCGGGAGGCGGGCAGGGGTCCTGCAGGGGTCCCGCTGACCTGCCCTGCCCTGCCAGGTGCTGGAGGGGCCGCTGCGGGACCGTTACCGGACGGCGCAGGAGCTGGTGCAGCACCGGGCGCAGGGCGCGCGGCAGGCGGGCAGCCGGGCGCAGCAGTTGCGGGATGAGGCCGCTGGGCTACTGCGGGACGCCCAGGGCAAGCTGCAGCGGCTGCGAGGTGAGGCCTGGGGGCAGTGGGTCAGGGGGTGGAGGGCGGCAGGGGGCCGTGCTGACCCGTGTCCCCCCCATCCCCACAGCTCTGGAGGAGGCATATGAGCGGAACGAGCGGGTGCTGGACGCCAAGGCGGCCCAGCTGGGCGGGCTGGAGGCCAGGATGAGGGAGGTGTTGGCCACGATCAACCAGCAGGTCCAGATCTACAACACC